TACAATAAATAAATTCAAGGTTTTTATCACCATATGAATCATTAAAATGGGAAATACCTTTTCTATGTCAGAAACTGAATTCAAGGAGGACCCTTCCAGGACTTCTGGAGCTGTGAAAGCTCTCAAGTCTTGTTGGGTGACGTACTCGTCTGCAAACGAAATATTGCCAGAGGGCATGAGCAGCAGAGACCAGGGCGAGATGATGAAGGCCATGGCAGCAGGGTCTGGCAAAGAGAACAGACAATTCAAGTCAGAATCAAAACAGACTACAAAGAACTAGTCTTAAAATACAGCACGCAAACTACAACGCAAAACTAGGATCAAGTCTGTCGAGGTATTTTAGAGCCGAAGGCAGCGACCTCTGACTTATGCACCCACTGAGGATGTTTCACTCTAAAGGTTTGAGCATTCATAATTATTCAAGACGACAGAAGTAAACAAAAACACATGTTGCTTACTCGGCCTGCATAAAAAAAACGAGTTAAAGCAGGAAAGTAGGAGGAATGTCTACACAGCACAATTCTTTTTTCCTGAGAAACCGCAGTCAGAGCTATGATTAGAGAAGGTTTTAAAATCATACAAAGGAATGTTTGGACAGTGCTGCCCCCTTTTTTTCTTTGACTGATTCTAGACTACATAAAGAGTAAAGAGTGAAAATGAAAACTTGATTTAAGGTACAATAAGAAATGTCTTACAAGCACTGGAATTTACTTTATAAATAAACGCTTCCTGGTGAAAATATCTAACCATTCAGAGAGTTGACTAAAGTAATCTGGGCGGCCAGGTGAGGCTTTTATTCTGAATAAGCAATAGTGAAGTGGCGCAAATTCACATTTTGACACAATTTGTTTCAAACATTTAAACAAAAAAAAATATGCAGAAACACAGCAAAATAAAAAATAAAAGCATACACAGTGCAGTCGTTTTTCATCCTATTACAAAGTAAGGTCGCTGTCTGAATGGGGATTACTCTGAGTTTGTGTGCTCTGTACCAACAGCTTGTTCTGTTAAATTAGACATTAACAATAAAGGCTCATCATGTAAAGGATCTGACAGCAAATAGTCTATTAATGCTGCATACGCTTCAGGAGGTAATGACAACGATCTAACCATGATGGGAAATTCCTCAGGCAAATCACAAATACTCACACATCACTTATTTATACAAATCATTCTTTTACCAACGCAGTAAAAACATCAGTGTTTACACACACACACCGAAGACTGCACTGGTTGCATGCAATGTGTCAACATTTACAATCACTGAATCATTACAGTTGCTTTCACTGCATTAAAAACAAAAACAATAAAGATGCTAAATTAAGAACAAAATGCCAATTTATCCATAGTTGTGCAGTTAACCAGCACATCAAACCATTTGTCTGGTGAGCTTGAAAGTTTTAACCACTGTCATTAATGAGCCATTCTTGTGGCCTACAGGCTTCTTTACATAGTTCAGTGGCTGTATAATAGCTGGGTCAAACATCTGCTATTCAAATTTTAGCTTCACTCAGCTAAAGCTCTACAAACCACAAGCCACAATTTACACAGCTACACAATGGAAAAGGAGAAATATGGGTGTATTAAATGTAACAAACTTCAAACAAAGAGAGTGCAGCACAATGGTAAATAAAGACAAAATAATCAAATTCATCATTTATTAATTTCATCTTCATTTCAGAAGTTCATCAAAGAAGCGTTCACTTAAATACTGGTATTTGTGCACAATCAGTTTATCGTGACCTCGGCACTACAGGAATATTCACAAGCATTCACAGATAAGTGAGATTTTTCACCGGTATGACAAGGCTGTAAGCAAAACCAGAATGTGAAGTCAAGCTAGTTTATGCAGAAACGAACACAGAGAGACTGAGGTTACCGTTTCAGGAAAATTTACACTTGGCCACAGTTTAGATGACACAACTGTGACCCCTTATAATCAGACGCACAGGGATCCTGTAAGAAACCTAGAACCACCCTAACTTCTTTAAACAGCTCGGGGGTTTTGCTGACTCACATCCTCTGCAAAGTGTCAGGAGTTAAACTTCCCATACTCACACACAGTCTAAAAGTTTTCTTAAATAACAAACACTATCTGGAATCTGATAGTCGTATCTCTTTCTGCACTCAGGAGCATTTACTGGCACAAACAACTGCAACAAAACTGCACATTTAAAGTCAAAGTTTCTTTATTTGTCATACGATGACATGATGATGTACGCAAGTCAAAGATGACTGAATGGTTCCACAAAGCTTTCTTGGAAATAATAAAATTGATAAGTATCATGTGGGATTATTATTCAGATACTTCCCCCCCAAAAAAACTATAATGTGTTAAAAAGAAAAAAAACCACTGACAGATAAAAGAAGACTAACGCGATGAAGAACCTCTTCAACGTGTTTGTACAATAAAATATTTGGTGTATATTTATCATATGGAAACCTACAAAATGTGTAAATCGTCGTTTCACACTTGAGTCCACATGTTCGTACCTTTATGGAAGAGATCCTGGAGGCTCTCTGCGCTCTGACTGAGCACAGCCCACACCTCCTCCTCCTGGAGCGGGCCTCCTCGAACCTGCAAGGCTTCTGCCAGAGACACGTGCATCTTCCCTGCACAGGGAGAGAGAGAAAAGAAAGCAACATAAGAAACTTTACTTATGCACGAAAATCCTCGTCTGATTTACACAAAAACACAGTAACGCTTAAGCTCAAGAGCACCAGGTCAATTATTTATTTTTCAAAGAAAGAGATCTCGGTGTTCAAGTTTCATTAAATATTCCTAGCCTCCGTTTCAACTCTCCAACATATTTTATGAAGTTCGACAGGGAAATTCCTCTAAATTACAGCATTGATAAGCAAAAATAAGCAAACACTTTGACGCTTACATTGTTTAAAAAAAAGAACTAAACCAAAGTTTAAAGAGGAAAATCTTTGGCACAAGGTCAGAGCAGCTGAGAAAACACTTATGCCAGCCTATGCAGAGTCATAGCCGCTTTTTGATTTTTTTTCCTGTTTTACTGACAAAACATTAGAACGATTTTTTTTAGTATGTTATTTCAAATGAAGAGCATTTCTACTTTGAAGGTGTAAATCATGCTACACTTAAAAAAGCTAAAAAAAATTGAGCATATTCATGTGTCAGTCATCAGCTTGAAAGAAATGTCTTATTTTTAGTCCATGTTTATTATCACACAAATTCTGTCTCACAAGAAATCCCCATTTTACAGCACTCTAGGTGGCAAAACAGCCAAAGCAATCCCATCAAAATGCTTTAACCCGTGGTTTTGTTCAACACTGTTTATACTTTGCCCTTTGAGCTCCAACAACTTCTAAGTAATTCTGTTCGATAATATTCTGCAGCTAAAGAACTATAATACACAAATGAAGCCTCACACGCCATTGATTACTTGAGCTACTTTGAACAAAGCAGCAGCTTATAAATCTAGGCCACTCAAAGTCTTATAGACGTAGTTCAGCTACAAGCTGGGCTTCTTTGCACCTCAGATATATAATGCCTATACTGTGTTTTTTTTAATTATGGGTCATAAAACCTAAAATTGAGTCAAGTTCAGTACAAAATTCACCGCATGTGGATGAACATCTATCGCCCAGCTCCACATTTATACAACTTTAACAGGATCAGGAAAGCTTAGAGTTTTATTCCTCTGTCTTTAAAAACAAATCGAAAAATTAAATCTGTGTAACTGAGTTTTGTGACATCACCCGGCAAAGTTAGTGACACAAAGCTATGTGACGAGATGCATGTGTCACAGTTTCTCTCCAAAGTCCTGCCACGTTGCTGAGGTGACAGTAGTTTCTTATCTTCCCAGTTCAGCAATGGTATGATGCTAAAGTAAGTAAAACAGGAAGCTCCAGTTTTACAGACACCAACAGGCTAAGCAGAAACTATCTGCAACGAGAGAAAATTCACACCCCCAAACACAACATTTTAAACAACAGCATGTGAGCCATGCGGCAAGAAAAAAAAAAAAATCCAAATTATTATTTTACAAACATTCACTGAGAAATTATTCATTATAATAAAATGTATAGTTTTGATTTGTCTGAGGTGAAAGAAATGACTTAGTGAAATGTTTGATCCTGCTGTGTGACGTAAATCAACGATGCAAATAGAAAGCAAACAATGCAAACTATCCAAAAAGGACAGTGCACTAAGAAATGTTCTTACTGCAGATTTATATAAAATACGTCAGAAATCCAGAAAACCGACATAAATATCTGCAACAATTAACGTTTAGAAAAAAGTTACCAAGTAAAACACAAGTAAAGGGAACTTGAGGTCAACTTAACCAAACGTCTTACTCTTCATGGGTATCAGAATATAAAACAATTTTGATCATTACCGGTAGTTCTTTATCAACATAAGATTTCCAAAAGGTGAGGTTATTATGCAAATAAAGAACAGCCTAACATGTTTGCAGATAAAAAGACAAAAATTCAGCATAAAAACAAAACTTGTTGTAGTTGGTCATTTATTAAAAGCCTTTACTTTTTCATATCATATTGAGGTTTTATAAACTTGAAAAGCACCTATGTACTTGTCAAATAATGGTCAATCAGGTCATCTGGACAGTTTCTTTTTTGTGGAATGATGTTTCGCCCTCTATCCAGAGGGCTTCATCAGTCTGAGGAGTCCCAAGTAAACTGTTTTCTCCACTAAGCAGTCACTTCTTTAGTGGAACAACCAGTTTGCTGGTGATAAGATAGTTTCTGGGGGCTGTCCTGTCCCTCGTCGACTCCTCCCAGGCAGGCAGCCACAGCCAACGTGGTTCAAGACATTGGCTGGATGACTTAGCATGAACTTTGATGTCTTGAACCACTTTGGCTGTGGCTGCCTGCCTGGGAGGAGTCGACGAGGGACAGGACAGCCCCCAGAAACCATCTTATCACCAGCAAACTGGTTGGTCCACTAAAGGAGTGACTGCTTGGTGGGGAAAACAGTGTACTTGGGACACCTCAGACTGAAGAAACCCTCCGGAGAGAAGGCGAAACATCTTTCCACAAAAAATAAACTGTCCAGATGACCTGATTGACCATTATTGGATTTTGTACCTGGATAATTAAGCATGAACTTTGATACCTATGTATTTGATTCACATCTTTAGTCTTTTGATTATTTGATCCTTTCCCTGTTTTATTTTTATATGGAGTTAGAGGATTAAAAAAAAAAAAATTGAAAAGAATCACAAAAAACAACAGTGACATTGTAACATCCTTGGGAAATGGCAGATTGTCAACAAGCATCTAAAACTTCTGCTCCCACAAATCCATCGTCCTGAAAATTGGAACTGCACGTAAAAGTGTGTATACGGTAGTTTTTACAAACTAAGAACCATCCTGTTACACATTTAGAGACCACCTAAGTCATTGAGATATGACAATCAGTAGTCCTCAATGTCTGTACCAAATTATAAGTTGACAACCGTTTTTGCATTTCACCGAACATGTGACCCACTTTTGGTTTTAGAGTAAGATCTCCGGAGATAATGAATGTCTGTACAAGATTTCATGGCAATTTATCACAATAGTGTCCACTTACTTCTGTCTAGATCAAAAAGGTGAATCAATATCTGCAGTCTTCTTTGAAAATAAATTACAAAAGGGAAGAGATGGACCTAGTTTGTTATGTCTGACACTTATGGGCTACAACCACACGTATCATTATCCACAACCTTCTACTATAAACTGGGCCAGTAGACTCATTAGTGCTCAATTTGATTTTTGAAAGCAATACATGAAACAATGTCCTTTGTATGGCGTTTTTTGAGAAAATAGTTAATGAGTAAGCCTGTCACAGGGCTAAATATTTATGCAGGAATGTAGGTTAACCATTCTAGTCAATGGGAGGCGTGATGTTTGAGGCCAAGCGGGATACTACCCATCATGGTCTTTACCCAGGAGAATGCAGAGAGCGGGCGCTGTGAAGACTGATTATTTTGCGGCCCTTGTTATTTCAACAGAGACCTACAGTGGAATGTTTTTATCCGTCCAGAGTCTGCTGTGAGAGCCAAAATCTCTCTTACTGGGCCAAGGTCCTGCTATACTGAGGGTGCTTTGGAGTAGCAAAAGCAGAAAACTTTCACCCCTTCAATTCCCTCTCTCATTCATGTTTCCAGGTAATTTCACATTATAGTAAGAAAAAAAAACCTAAACAAATATGAAGTTGCAGACCTTTTTAAACATTTGAAAATCTTGACTAAAGTCTCAAGGATTTTCAAGAAATAATCCTTGAAACACGACAAAAGTCTGTTATACTGCACTTTATCTCTCCATCCACCTTCCTGCCTGTGAAACAGCTATAACCCATGTGATGAATCCCAACACATCCATCCTTTTTCCTTTACTCTTCTCTTTCCTGGATGACAGGGAGCTGGTATCTATCTACAGCAGAGGGAAGTACACCCTGGACAGATTGTAAGTCCATCACAGGGACACATACAGACAAACAAGTCAAACAACCATTGACACTCTCACACACACCTAGAGCATTTTAGAGTAGAAATGAACCTAACATGCAGGTTTTTGTCTGGGGGAGGAAAACAGAATACCTGGAGGAAACCCACGCTTGCACGAGAAGAACACGCAAACTCCACCCAGACATGTCCCAGGCTGGGAGGCGATCCTGCAATCTTCTTTCTGAAAGGCGAGAGCTCACTGCACTGCAGGGCTGCCCAATATTACTCAGCTAAATAGTAAAAAATATGGCAAATATTTTAGTTTCTGCTACTCTCTTTCAAAAATCAGCTTGTTATTTTAAATTAGCCAAGACACTAAAAGTCAGTTTCTCTAAAACTTGAAAATTATCCCAGTTTAATTTTGAAAAGAAAGAGGAATTTTAAGATATTTTATGTGAAAAAAAAAAAGAAGAAGAAAACTTTTAGGATATGTAAATCCTGTATGGGCTCAAATTCCATACCATAGCATTTTATTTATAGAGCACTTAAAACAGTGAAAAGGCCAACCAAAGTGCTGTACAGTCATATACATATTGTGCTTGTAAATCAGAAAGTGTGGTTGTGAATTAATTTTGAAACTTGTAAACCAAAATTTTGGGAGTACTTGTATTACATCTTGGTGCATATATAGATAAGAATTTGTGTGTAGGCCTGTCACGATAACAAATTTTGCTGGGCGATTAATTGTCTCAGAAATTATTGTGATAAACGATAATATTGTTTGAAATTTAACAATAATTAATTGTCAAATTTTAGAAGAAATGTTGATTTGTTTGGAGTGTAGTACCTTTTATGACCACCTGATGGCAGTATAAGACTGTTTGACCCAAAGGATGGATAGTTAAGAAAAATAGGAGGGCGGGCCCTTGACGTGACATGGGCTGACATGGTGACATGGTGGATGCTCGGTGTGGTTTGAGCTCTTTAGCATAGCATTTTTCACACAAAGCTTTTAATAAAAAAATTAATCAGTAAACAAGTTCTCAGCTTATTTTTGCAGAGAAAAACAACTTTTTACACGAAGGCACAGGTTTCAACCGTGAATTTTGGAGCTCGACAAGACAGGTTTATTTCCCGAGGTCGGCCTGTTAGCTTAGCTTGTAGCTTAGCTTCTCAGCTTAGCTGCTTT